GGCACCTTTATTTTCTCATCTTTAGCGAGCAGAAGAGCGTCTGTACAAATTGGCAGAACCACATGCTGACTTCCCACCATTTTCGACATAGAAAACGTTTGTTGACTGATGGGATAGATATTGAACAGAACACTTTATGCCTATTAACCTGTGGACACGCTCAGGGAGCCTGGACTTAGCTATAGTTTCTGGGCACATTTCACAAGTACTTTGTTTTACTATACTTACCCTTTCCTGGGCACAGTGCTGCATTCTTTGGATGGCCAGTGAAATTCCTGAATATCTTACCTTTTCTTTCATTTTTCTGGAAGGATTCATCCCGAATCCTTCAACCTGCAGTGGTTCTTGAGTGACTCTTGCGTACCTCCTACCAGCTCGACTCCCACCGTGAATGACACGATGCCCCATAACAGGAGGACATTCGGCTTGCACTTCAGTTCTAAAACAGACAAACACAAGACTATCCACTTCGTGGTATTTCTAGGCCTGCTGCTGGTGGGGAGTCTTGAGTTCCTGTTTGGGCTCAGTCAGATAATCATCGGTTTCCTGGGCTGTCTGTGTGGGGTCTCCAAGCGACCAAGAGGTCTCATTGTGTAATTTGATGGCAACAAAATGGAAATATAAACAGTTTGGCTCATCTGAGAACTACGTTTCAAAGACACCCTTTTAGAAGTTAGAAGCTCAATAAAGGAACATTATCTAGGAAGCAGTATCAGTCCTTTTAGTCCAAGAGATGTGTTTTTTTTAAAGTCACCTGTAATGTGATTTAAAGAAGTCAGCCTTTTCCATATAAAATAAAGTGTGTTGGTAAATGCGTAATGCTTTCATGTGAAGAAGTGAAGTCCATCAGCAGTTGACTTGGGGAGCAATGAGGAGCAGATTTGGGTGTTTTGCATCTTTCTGTACTGTTTGCATTTCCTAACTCTATTCTTGTGTGTGGACAGGAAGGGAGGGAAAGGGAGGAAAATGGGTGATGGAGGGAAGGCAGGCAAGAGGTTCGGAACAGAAGTTACCCTGGAAGTAAGAGTATGGGACCTTTTGCTTGCATTCTTTTTAAGAAAAAGTAATAAATATCTAACCTGAATGCACTCAAGTTTTTAGGCTGAATTCCTCGCTTACAGGAAATCCAGGGACAGACACTCAAACTCAAATGCTAAAGGTAGGGCAGCAAACAGACAATAGCCTTCTGTTTACATCAAGAAAATGTACAGGGGAAATGAACAGAGGGATGTGCTGAGGGAGCTGTTCTGTACTGAGAACAGAGATGGGCCCCCACTGAGTGTGTGGTGTGGAGCTGGCTGGGAAAATCAAGGAAACTTGCACAAGCATTGGTGTGGGTGATACTAAGGACTTACTGTGAATTTTTATCTCTGATAATGGCTTAATGGTTATACAGGAAAATGTCTTTATTTTTTAGAAGTGCGTATGTATGTGTTTGGGAGAAAATGTCATGTTTTTAAAATACTTCAACCAAGCTCTAGCTGCCGTCTTGCTTCCCCACGTGTGCGCCTATTCTCAGCTGGTCTGTCCAAGGCCCCGAGTGCCAGCCCTAGTCCCCCGCGCCCCGTTTCCTCTCCAACAAGATGAAAGAAACTATCACGAACCAACAGAAACTTGCCAAACTGCAGGCACAAGTGTGCATTGGTGGGAAAGGAACTGCTCGTAGAAAGAAGGTGGTTCACAGAACAGCTACAGCCGACAGTAAGAAACTTCAGTTCTCCTTAAAGAAGTTAGGGGTAAACAACATCTCAGGTACTGAAGAGGTAAACATGTTCACAAACCAAGGAACAGTGATCCACTCACCAACCCCAAAGCGCAGGCATCTCTGGCAGGAACACCGTCACCATCACAGGCCACGCAGAGACAGAGCAGCCGACAGAGATGCTACCCAGCATCTTAAACCAGCTGGCAGCAGCCTGACTCGTTTAAGGAGGCCGGCTGAAGCTCTGCCCCAACAGCCTGTGGATGGAAAAGCACCACTTGCTGCTGGGGAGGAGGAGGAGGATGAAGTCCCGGATCTTGTGGAGAATTTTGATGAGGCTTCCAAGAACGAGGCAAACTGAGCTGAGTCGGGTCTGAAAATGAACTTGAAGGGGTTACTGGGAGCTGCTGTTTCATATTGCGACTGCTTTTTCACACCCTGTTTACGGATCTGACAAAATCTAGAGCTCTAATTATTTTTTAGCGCAACCCCCCTGGGACATTGCAGCTCTTTTCAGTTTTTGCTTATACATAAATCATTCTTTGCAGCTAATTTAGCTGAAGCAGCCTGGGAATAAAGTTTGAAACAGGTTAATAAAAAACAAACAAACAAAAACTTCAACCAAAGATAAAATAATAGAATAATGTTCATTGTTGTATTTGGGTGACAGATGTATGGTAAGTCATTATACTTTTCTATCTTCCTATGTTTGCTTTTTCCCCCAATAATTAAAAATTATAAATACCTAGAAAAAAAATCAGCCTTTCAAAAGCTGGTTTCTATATATGACAATCTTTAAAAGACAGGATAGTAAATCAGCATATTTACCATATTAAAATGTTATAAAACAGACTGAACTAAAAATCTATGATTTTCTGAATGTGATTATTTCCATTATTTATGCTTAGGTTCTAGAAATAACTCGCAATACTTACTTACGTTGTAGCTGCCCCTCAAAACTAGTAACATCAAGAACTTACGGGCTTTTTCATCTAAATCCATTTGCTGTATAAAGACCTTCTCCTCACGTTCCTACAAATCCCTATTTATCCTCAAGGTTTAACTTAAATATCTCCTACCTGAGCAAGCCTTCCCAGAGCGCACGATCCCAAGAAACTGAGCACCTACCCAACCACCACCATCAGACCTGTCACAACCTAACCCAAGTGAACCGCTATTACCGTACCTGTCACGGAGAAACACAGGTGTTTTGTCTCCGTGTCCATCACGGTAAGAGATCGGGGACCAGCCAATGCTTCCCCACTGTCACCAGCTCCGTCCTGCTTCAGGTCAGCGAGGCCTCTCTGCCCAGGCCCCCCCAGTCCAATCTCTGGCTAAGGCCCTTCATTCTTCATCCTTCAGCACAAATACCCCGTTTTCCGAGGGGCCTTCCCCAGCCATCTAACGAAGAGCAGGTGCCCGTCCCCTCTGCCGGCCTCTGGCTGATGGCGCCCGTCAGGACGGCGATGGCATTTTTACTGGTGTTTTCTTCGTAACCTTCCTTCTCCCCAGACCACACGCTCCGCGGGAACAGGGACGTCGCTCTCATTCACCCCGGAACGCTCGGCCCCAAATCCACTGCCCAGCGCCAAGCAGGGTCAGCACTGGACACACTGTCACCTGGCTTAATGAATTCTCTGTAGAGCTTAGCTTTCCCTGAGGGCTCCACGCTCATGCAACGAACGCCCAGCTGCTAACAGCCACGAAGTTAACACGCGAGCGAAGCGACACGACAGCTCCCTGCGTGTAACTGAACACACGGGGCAGCGAGGGTGCACTCTCCTCGCATCGGCCTAGATGAGCCAGTTCTCTGCGGGGTCACGAAGGGACAGGAGACCGACTTCAGCAGGCCCTTCCGAGGGCAGAGGGTGGCTCGCAGAAGCAACCGGCTGAAAGAGCTGGTAAGTCATTTCCTTGCTGTTAGTCTTGCGGAAGCTGCTGGCATGGATAAAGCCCTAAAAGCCTACGGGCCGTCTGGGGTTAGGTATCTTTTGGGGACATGCCACCTTTGCTCTGGCCCCTAAACTTACATAAGGCCTTTTAAGTGCAGCTGTGAACGTGGTGCAATGACACACTTGTGAGACTTAGTTGCAGGACACTGAGTGCGGCAGGTTGACCATTACTGGCTGGCCTGCCGTGCCCTTTGGCCTGCTGTTGCCCTCACCAGGAATCTTTTCTCCACTGCTTGTTGAAATGCTATATATTTTTCAAGGTTCGGCTCAAACATCTAAGGAGGATTTCCTGCTTCTCTCAGCTCCAAAACCACTTTCTCATGGTGACAAACCCCTGCTCGGGGAGGCGATGGCACAGGCTGGGCTTGGGAGTGATTCAGGAGCATTTTCTGACCTGTGACGAGGCGCATGTTTCTTTGTTCTTGGTACCCTGCTGGAACTGCTCTCCCGGTCCCCCTGTAGCGGTCAAGAAAGTACTTCCCAGCGTTTGGTAAAAATCAATAGGAAGAGCTTTTTTGTTTGCTCATCTCCCGGAATTCCTGTTTTACCTCACTCCTGGCCCTCGTGGGGTCCTTTCCCCGCCCGCCCAACCAAACAGGAGCTCATTTTACCCACGTCTCATCATTTTTGTGCTTTCCACCGGATCACGCACAGAAATTACTCTGTGAAACACATGAAGGTATAATTAATTACATCATTAGCGTATTAAAGGAATCAGAAGACTTTCATGTGTGAGGAAAAAAAAGGCCAGCAAACTCATAATAAACCCAAGGAAGCAAAGGGTCTGTTGTTTTTTTTAAGGACAGGGAGAAGCAATAGAATGTTCAATCCCCCCGTATCTAAAATTCCCTCACCTGCCTTTCCCCAAACTCACTGCCTTGGAGAAAGATACTTAAGATGTGTGGAGGACATTAGACCTCACTAAAATTCTATCAGTTTCTGAACCAAAAACAGGAAAAAAACCAACAAAAACCAGTTTCAGGACTAAAGGCTACCAGGACTCGCTTCCTTGGCACGTTTGGCCCTCGTGAGGTTTAGTGCAGTAGGTAAGCACTGCGATGGGGAAAGCACACACAGCTCAGGGTGTTTGCACCTGCGCCGCACTGTGGACACTACAGACGAGAAAACCACTTGGACACAAGCAGCCCCGTGACAGGATGAAGACCCGAACGGCAGCACATAGGGTCTTGCTCCTGCCAAGTCCTCAGCTGTGTCACTTGCGCCTGAGACAGACTCAGGTTCGTGTAAGGTAACAATACGGGAGACAGCTCGCAGCACAAGATGATGAAACAAATCTTTCGATAAACAAATGTTTTGGTTGACAGTTTATTAAATACACTACAATTGTACCTTATTCTGTAGTTTTTTAAATCATTCACACATGAACTTAGTAAAAATGTACTTTATAGAAAATCACCTGAAAAACTAAAATAAAAATAAGCACGCGCATTTTACACACGTTAGGTAAACTACTGAGAATGTCAGGAATTATGTTAATGATGAGGTGAGACAGGAGGTGGCCGGACCTTACTCACTGACGCCGCACCCCACTCAGATTCAGGGGTGTTAGTGCTGAACTGTGGGCGGGAACATGTCCACTAACAACTGCTCAACAGTCTGAGAAACAGGACAAAGTCTTTTTCTCCTACAGGTCCTTTTCTAAATCCATTCTCTACCCTCTCCCATTCAGAGAGTGACTTGTGCAGACTGATGAGGCAAAACATGAATTCCTTTTGAGAACCCAACGGGAGCGTGTACACACATGCAGGGGGTTCTGGGTGTCACTGCAGGGCTGCTACAAGTGAATGCAGCTAAGAGGCAGGATGTCCTTCACCCGCAAACAGGAGTCTTTCCCTCCTCTCCGGAGAAGTACATTTTCAGGGCGTGGGCTATGAAAGGCATACAACGCAAACACGGAAACAAAGAAGTTTGCAAATTCTTTATATTTCCAGCTGTTGAGACAAAATTTTTTGAAAAATGAGGTCGCCTCTAGCGGCGAAACCAGAGCCAGCTATTAAGCAGCCAGAAGGCTACAGTGATGGAGTACATGACCATCTCTCTCTTAGCGCGCTCTTTGGTCTCCTCTTCTAGAAGTTGCAGACGGCGATTTAGTTTGATTATCTAAGTGAACAACAAAAACAACAACTAAATAGAGGCTTTAATGCATGGGGTAATCAGGTTCTTATAAAGTAGGATAATTTGTCAAAATAATTATTGCAAACATGGAAAGTTTCATTTGGAGCAAAATAAACAAAACTGTATGTAAAAGTTACCTATGATAGCTAAAATTCACTAAAATACTCCTCTCCCTTTCCCTTTCCTGTTTCCAAAATTCTGAGTTGGAAAGGAACTATCTTCTTTTTTTAAATCCCCATGTGAGGATATGTTTATTGATTTTAGAGGGAGGGAAGGGAGAGGGGGAAGGGGGAGAGGGAGAGACGGAGAGGAGGAGGGGGAGCGGGGGAGAGGAAGGGGGTGAAAGAAGCCACTTTCTTCAGTAGGCATGAAAATATGTAAGAACTTACGATATAGCTTCCATTTGTTTCCATAAATGAGACTCAAAATGAAACAGTATTTGCTTCATATTACCCTTATATTACACTAAAACTTTAAAATGATATTCTGATCTATTCTTATGCTAAAATATTTAGTTTCTTGATATTTACTTAGAAATACTGAATTTTGATTCATTTCCCCTCGTCTATTTGGCATAGACACAAGTAGAACACTGAACATGGCTTCCCCACCTGTGTGTGATTCCAGAGGCTAGGAGTACATATTAAAAATATACATATGCAACTGTAGTTCTAAGTAAGACACAGAAAATGAGAACTAGGCATATAAAGAGCCTCTGCAAACAGAGCAGTTTCCAAAAGGGAGTTCTCAAGCACAGTAACCCAGGTCCCAGAGTGACCATCTCCCAGAGCCAAGCCACTGTGGCTGCCCTGGTTTGCTAAATGTCACGACTGTGTTATTCACCGGAAAACTGTTTTATGCTGATCCAAACATGTAAATGGTGGCTCAATACATCTTTAATCAAAATGGGAAAATCAATTATGGTTTAATAAACAGTTTGATAAAATATTTCCATTCATGACTTCCACAGGAGAGAAAATGAGGAATTGTTAGGAACTGTCACTTTAAAGATTGTATGACTAGCACTTAGGATTGTATCTTATTTGGACATTAAATACCTGTCGTCTTAATGAAACTGCATCTACAACAGTCATGTCTTCTGCAGCTCCTTCAACTGTTGCGTCCATATTTGAAATGCCATACCTAGCAGATAAGAAACAAAGCTGCAATATTATAATACAACAAAGAGCACCTGGCAAGTCACGTAATGTGCTGCATAGTGCTAAAGAACTGTTCAAAAGACTGGAACTTAATATAAATTCCTAAAGTATTTTACATTTTGAGTTATTACTGATAAAGAAAACAACTGAAGGTAACAACTGCCTTCAATACTGGCAGTGGCCTGACCCTCTGAGAAGAAACCCTGACTGAAGACAGAAATGAGGAGACGCTTTCAAGCCCACAGGGACTGGCAAAGGAACAAGGGTCCCTGGCTGAAGGCCTGAGAGCTGCCACCCTAGCTTGTGACAACACACAGCTCTCACACAAACTATGTCCACGTGCGGCTGCAGAGGAGTCCCTGCTGAGACGCAGTGGCCGGGGCGTGAACTCCAGCTAACAAGGTAAGTGGTCAGTTCTTATTTCTCTCCCTGCTCCTCTCACTGCCTCTTTTCCCGTCACTTCTACATGTAACTTATTTCCATTTACTCTCTACTGTAAAATCACCTGACTACATCTTGACACTACATTCCGATCCAGAAGGGGCTCAATAATCAATAATTACAGGGCCGGGTAGAAAGTAACACTGGGAATGCAACGAAGACAAACTCCAGAGAAAGCATATTAAAAAGTACTTCTTGTTCACATGCAGTTACTTCTAAAAGGACACTTATTTTTAAATGAATGACAAACTTTTGAGAAACAACTACTACTCTGCCTCTTTGCCTGGATTTCCACTTTTAAAATATATTTTTAATTAACAGCTTTACTGAAATATAATTTGCATACCATACAATTCACCTCACATGTTCATATCCTATTTTAACTCTGGATGGTTATTTCAGTAAAATGGCATATTAACTGTTCTGAATGAGAATATAAATAAACTGAATTTAAGAGTTACTCCTATGTAATCTACAAAGTTGGCCCATAGATCATATCTTCTAATATATCAAGCAGATCCCCACTATAAAAAGCACCCTACCACACAAAGGGGCACGAGAACTATGTTTTTCATCTAGACATGTTAAAGACGAGCCTATTTAAAAAATTATTTTGTTTCAAATACAATTGAAAATAATACAAAACTACTTTAATCAGGCAGTCGCCATTCTGAACACTAATGATAACCAGGCAGGTCGCAGTCTCAGTAACACGGCATATACTGACTCTAGATAATCTGGAACAGTCTCTAAATGTGTCTCTGATGGCTACATAAACTTGCTTTCTCATCAACTGCCCCTTTCCTCATGGGGAAAGAATGAGTATCCTGGAGTACTGAGAGAAACTGCATCAGTTAGAGAAGTAAGCTACAAAGTTGGTAGATGCTACAACTAGGGGATTACAAACATCTGAATTAACTATTCCTTTGAACATTATGGCAGAATTAAATGATTAGTAGGAAAAAAATCAGGGTTGAAAAGGCCTCTTTCTCTACACTTTATCCTCAAAACAAAACTGTTCTATTTCTGTGAGGTCACACATGAGATAAATAATTGGAAAAAAAAAAAAATCAAACAATAGAAGCAGTTGCTTCAAAGGTCAAGGACCTGGACTGACACAGAGAGTGAAGCACAACTGAAAAGGATCACTCACAATTTGGATCCTAAATTAACTAATGTTTCAATATCTGTAAACAAAATCTTCATTTGCAAAGAAATCTAAGAATATCTACAGCAAAAACTTTAGATAATTCAACTTAAAATAGAAAAAAACATTACCATGTGTTTTAAACTACAATCTGTTTTTTTTCAGAACTAAAAACTCTAAGTCAGATCACTGGCTGAAAATAGAGGTAAAAGGATCAGAAACTTAGGAGTAAATGTACGAGGGAAAACTTACACTGGGTCGAGCTAACACTGTAAAGGAAATGGGTCGGCAGAGCGGGAGGCCCTGAGGCACTGACAGACACTTTAATTCCCGTAACCTGAACTAACTGGAGTGAGAAACTGCCGCTTCCCTCTTCTCTTGCCTAAAACCCCATGTGCCAGCTTCCTCTCATCACAGAAATAAAGCTGCCAGTTTTAAATCTAATGCTATAGATAATATATTTGTGCTTAAAATAAACAAAATTAACTATGAAAAAATTACAGTAACAGTATCTGTGAATACTAACCAAGTTTTTTTCCCCTAGAAGACAGGAAATGGGGATTTTGGCCCATGAGAACCTTAAGTACTTGGATGTACCATTCATTCTGTCCTGTGCTTGACAGAGAAATAATTGCTCTGATCAAGCAGGTGTGAATGTGTGAAAGGGGGAAAACAAAGAGGAAAGCTTTTGAAATCGACAGATGACAAAAATTCTTAAAACTAAACTCCCTTTATAAACGTTTAATTTCCCCAAGCTGTCAATGACTATTTCCCCCAGTTTAAGACGATGCCTTACAGACAGCTTTACCTACACATGGAAAGTGACGCTGTAGACAATTACCTAAAAAGAAAATGCTGGGCCAACCTCGGCAACAATGCAAAGGATGCACATGAAACAAAATTTAGGTGAGATTTAGCCTGGCCTCCATGAGCTACCGAAGCTGATTGAAATACGCATCCAGGATACACGATACTGTATCGCGACTGTTAAATGTTTCCCTCACTCTGGTGGCCAAATGTCCTGAGTGACTACTCACTGTTCTCTGAGAAAAGCAGGGTGCACTCAGAGAAAGGATGCAGAGGCTCAAGCTGCCACATAAAGGCATGGCTACTACATGCATTACAGCCTGCAAAACACAGATCCAGTCAACCATCCACCCTGGTAATTACAAAGTCTCAAAATTTACCTGGCGTTGTCATGATGGGGGTTAGAAGTGGCGGCGGCAGACCCACCACGCAGCACGGGTCTAAGGCAGGTTTTTGGAGAAGGCACAAGACAGAATCAGGAAACAGAGAAGTAATAAAATGAAAGCAAAAACAATAAATAAATGTCAAATAGGATTATATTGTATGATTCAATACAATATAATATATTTCAAATACTTTAAACATCTTCGTCTCATATGTCCTCCATTTTAAGATTTTCATAAATTTAATATTTTCAATGGGTTCAAAAACAAAGGAAATCTATAGCTATGTAACAAAACATATAGCACCAACATATGAAGTAGTATTTGGGGTGCTTGTATCGTAATTTATGAAACTCAAGACAGAGGACAACTGTTTAAAAAGTCTAATTTCTCTCTTCTAGTTGGAAAAAAATCACATCACCTTTAGAAGCATGTCAAGAACCGGTTAGTAGCACCTGCATGATCGTGGTTGCTCATCTGCCAGCAAGAGCCCATCTCAAAAGCTGAACATTTGACACAGCTCCCATGTCCCACAATTACGTCTTTCCCACCTCATTAATTTTGGTCAGTGCCTGATATGTTAATGTAGCTGTGTCTCATTCAAACCCTGAGCTCCCCGGAGCAAAACTGCAAGCCTCAGTTCTGGAGCTGAGACCAGGGGCTGTGCTCTGAGGACACACCACAGCACATTCCGGAAGCAACGATATTGAGTCTGACTGTGAGACAACCAAGAGTGGCATACAGGGCTGTTGAAATGAAGACTGCGGTGCACTGGAAAACTTTGTGGGGACTGTCACTTAGTCTCAGTACATCCTTTGTTTCTAGAGGAAAATTAGTTCCTGACCTAGGTAAGCAGAAACCTTTCCTTCCGATAAATCTTATTTTTAAAAATCAGACAACAAAAGCTCCACAAGGTCACTGGTCAATTCCCCAAAAAGTATTCAGCAATATTTACTAGAGAGAGAGAGAGAGAAGGCTGGGGTACAGGGTCAATATAAGGATTTTAGGAATCCTTACATTCTATTTTGAATGTCTCATTCTCTAAGTACTAATCAGGTTGGGCCTGAATTTAAATATCAAGGCAATTCTTAATTATAGTAAACAGTTGATACAAAATGCACTAGTGTTGTTTTGTTTTTGTAAGTTGACACATCTGTAGAATTTTGGCTATAATACAAATCACTATTTTGCCCACTCAATTTATTAAAGGAAATTTTACTGTTTAGCTTGTATGTTTCCTAAAGGCAGTACTGGTGCTTAAATAAATTTCTGGAGCCTAGAGGATAAGAGATTCAGAGACTTCTGGGGGAAGACCTGTTAGAGTTCTATTTTGTTCTCTAAAGAACAGTGAGAAAACACGTGTGCTTGAGACAGGTTTTAAACCCATCCCCTCCTACTAACAGATTTACTCTGTGGCATTAGGAACTGTTACTAGTTAACTACAATCTTGCATTACACTAACACGAGAAATGTTTAAATAAAGCCAGCGCTGTGTGCTGCCTAAAGTTTTTTGAAGAAATTCACACTAATATGCTCAACTGGATGTGCTATCTCCAATGTTCCACCACAGAGATTTCCCTTTTATAATGCAGAGCCAGAAAATAACAGTTACCTTTCACAACGCATTTCATTTTGTCTTCTTACACTGGCAATTGACACATATAACATAAAAGTAAATCAGACAGGCATTTGGCATAGTACCGCTTTCTACCATAAGTATAATTTAACACATTGAAAATCTTTTTAAAGTGTGGTAATATGTTCAACAGTATGTTTTGTGATTCAAGTGGCAAAGGGAATGAGCAGCAAGGCTCCACTAGTTCAAGTTAGCTCTTGAACTAACTTGCTATCACGGAATATGTTTGTTTTAAAAAATGGAAAGTGCTACAGTAAATAAACAATTTAATTGGGGGTCCAAGAATTATACACATATTTTAAAAAGACAAATTTTAAATAACAAACACTGTTTCAGCTACAACTTTGTATTCTAGGCTTTCCAAGTAATATATTTATACAGAACCACTTGCAAAAAATATAAAATTATTTACATATTGGTTTCTTATTCTATATACTCAAAGCTTGTAGAATCGGCTAAAGAAAAACTGTATAAAAATAATCAAGCCCCTTCTAAAAATAAAACTAAGCATGACTAATATGTGAATGTTCAAATAATGTTCTCACATAGGAAGTCTATTTTTAAGCATGTTACTATTTTGCATTGGAGAATGACATATGGAGCTCTAGCAGATGTCAGAAGACTGGGGCGTTTCCTAACCAGCCAAGGACTAAGTAATAACAGCATTTAAAATCCAAAGAGCCCAGCCGGGCATGGCTCAGCGGTTGAGCATCGACCTGGGATCCAGGTGATCAGGGTTCGATTCCCGGTCAGGGCACATGCCCGGGTTGTGGGCTCGATCAATGACTCTCTCATCATTGGCGTTTCTATCTCTCGCTCTCCCTCTCCTTTCCTCTCTCTGAGATCAATAAAGATATATTAAAAAAAAAAAAAAAATCCAAAGAACAGCCCGCGGTTGAGCATTGACCTAGGATCCAGGAGGTCACCAGGAGGTCACGGTTTGATTCCTGGTCAGGGCACATGCCCGGGTTGTGGGCTCAATTCCCAGTAGGGGCCGTGCACGAGGCAGCCGATCAATGACTCTCATCACTGATGTTTCTCTCTCTCCCCCTCTCCCTTCCTCTCCCTGAAATCAATAAAGATATATTAAAAAAAAAAAAAAATGTCAAAGAACACACCTCGTGCTTGTCCCCGGTGTTTTGATAAATAAACTTTGCTAATGTGTATGTATGATGTTGAGCTTGGTTTTAGATCATATAAGTTCTCATAAGATGAGAAAATGGAAATACATAAATAAAGCTTTCAAGAGTGTCCCTTAAAGTGTAAACTAAAAATAGTTCTCATGTCAAGCAACTGTGAATCTGCATTATTTTATGATAATAAAGCAGGCAAAGTCTTCTTCCCTTCCTCCCTCCATCCCTGCCTTCCCTTCAAGTAGTTCTAGCTTAATTTAACATACCTAATGTGATGTCATAAGAGCAAAGATAAGATTTTACATTAGCGTAATAGCCAAGAGCAATAAAATAGAAAAGAAAAAATGATGTACAGAGCAAGAAACATAAAAGCACTTGAAACTTTATAAGCAGCATTATTTTATAATCATGCAAGTAGACTATTATCCAAATTTCACATTCCTAGTGTTTATGCGGAAAAGTCATGCCAGAGAGTTCTCATAGTAGAAATAAACACTGATTTGGCACTTACAATTCTGATTAAATCTTGTTCAGTATTTAGATTGTAAGAAACTGAAATACGACAATAAAAAAACCCCAAACCCTTTCAATAATGAAAGCATCCAATAAAACTAATAAGAATCTAACCTGCCAGGCTCCAAGGCAACAAAATGGTGTGTATCCATGAGCAAAGAATCATTAATACAACTACTTTACGAATTTAAAGTTATCAATTCATAACAATTATAAATAAAACTTCACTTAGGGCTCAAAATAGTTTTTCATAATAAAAAAAATACAAAGTAAATTTTACATTAGTAAGATTTCTGACTTTGTATTGTAAACTTGCGGCAAAATTTATTTCTATATGGAGAAAAAATTCCAACTGTTTTTACAAGTTCCATATTACTGTACTGCACTGTGTCTAGAAAAGCTAAGCAATTTGTCCAAGGTCATCACACAGCCAGCTGCTCAGTGGGGTGGCTCGAGACGGAATCTGACCCCATGAATGCATGCTTTTTCTTCTAAACCATGCTGCTTCTTACAAGCCTCAAATAGTCTAAAATAGTCCTTGAAGCTTCAAAGAGCATAAAAGGACTTGAAACACTTGGGGAGGGGGAGATATATATAAAACTTCCCCCCGCCACAAGCGTTCTCTTTTATGCTTCTTCTGGCACAGCTTTAAGTCCGGGGCCCGAACGAACACCACTAGACTAACCCTGGGAAGGCTTAGAAACCCGCCGAGCACATGGACAACTGGCGTATGAGACATGGGGACAGCGCCCAGGCCCGAGGGAGGGTCAAAGCACTCGACAGGAAAGCTTGTCCAGAGCAGGCCATACACACGCCAGCTGCTCTGCCAAGAAGTGAGGTTTACGGGAAGAGCCAGCTGAATTTACTGGGGATTCCTCAGAACGCAGAAGTCAAACACTGGCTCAGAACTACTAGATAAAATGTTAGGAGTTGGAATGAAACTGACTGTATCTTCCCCATTCTATGCCAAAAAGCTTCCCAAATTTCATCTTTTTAAAAAACACCATGTAGTAATGAAGTAAGGACAAAAATAATGGCAAAAAATGTATTTGTATGAATAAGTCTAAATATGCTATACTGATTTTACCTGGTGTTCAAAGTGAGATTAAGTTATCAATTCTGAAAACTATCAGACTTTCAAAATAGCACCTGGATTTTCAATATGGGCCTAGAAATCCCTATTTAGAGGAATTTAAAAAAAAAATAATTCCTGGCAACTACACTGACATCAATGTCTCAAATCTGTTTCACTAATCTAACCATATCAGTACCATAAATGATAACATCAAAAGACTTACTAAAGAAAATTCATTTGCTTTAGTTCAACATCCTACACTCAACCCAACAGTGTGCCTGGAACGGCCAAAATGGACTCAGGGACTTAGAACAGGTCAGCAAAACTTTTGGAAAAATCCTTACACTTCCTGTATGTAGTTATTAAATCCTCTCTCTGACTGAAGAAAAGCTAACAGAATCTTGTGAAATGTGAATTTTGGACAATAATTTCAAATTAAAAGAAAGCAAAGCAAACTGTTTAAACCATTGCATCTTAGAAAGAGACAAAGGTGCAAACAAAAAGGGAAGACACCACAGTCCACTGAAAGGAGCCAAAAAATATGCAATAAAGCTGGCGAAAGTCTCCGATGGCCAGTCACCTGCGGTTTTCATCCAGCACATCCAAGATCTGCTGGTAAGCCCTACGAGTAGAAGACTGGATAAGGGACAAAATGCCACGAGCAGAGGAGAGATTAGCTCCGTCTTCAGGTAACATACGGGGAGGACAGACCCGAACCTGTTGTGGCGACGGTGTCACACTGTTTACGTAAGCACAGCAAATGAAGAAAAAAACACTCAAGTCAGATTTTCATAAAACTTTAGCTGAGCAGTTTCCCCAAACACTTACATTTTAAGAATTATCTTAATTTTCTTGCCCCCTTTTCCCACCCATCACTCCCCAAGAGAAGAGTCAAACCAAATAAATTAATATATCAAGTTTTAAAAAACCAGCTACAATGCAGCATCTGTAACTGTGCAGCCTTAAACATCAAACTAAAAAAAGGGTCACGAAGGAGCAAGGCTGGAGGGGGAGAGAGCTGAAGCAATGAGGGGGCCCGCCCGCCAGCTCAGGAGGCGCAGTGTTCTGCATTTGGCCTGTATGTTCCGATTCGGAAACCACGCTAACAAGCAACCTGCCACTGCAACGTATGGGTGATCGGACAGTAAGACAGGAAATCCTGGTCAGACAAATTTAAACACGCAAATTGAAAGTAATTCCATGGAAATGCCATTGCAAATATTTCACAAAGACAATGAAACAAGCTGAGTTTACGAGTAAGTTTAAAGATGAATCCACGTTCAGAAAGCTGTACTGAACATACAGCGTATTTCAGTTTCTGGGCTTCTCAGTGCCAGTAACCTTACATTCTTTCACAATTTCTTTCGCTCCACCACCAGTGCTTCCTACAAGCTGAGCACACGTGAATGGAGCAATTTTACAGTTCTAACCCAATCGATTGGTGTATTTTCAGACACTTGTTTAATGTTAGAGCACAATTCGCTGTTTGAGGTATTTAACTGATACATGGACTTGGCATCTGGTTTGTTACAGTAAGAGGTTTTGTTATAATGGGACTAAGATGCTGAGATGTGGGCTCAACATTTTTTCTCAATGTCAGGGCAAAACACCCTAGACTAAACCTCATCCTGTGTATTATTACATTAAAAAAGAAAGAAAGAAAATGGAGTAGACAGTGAACAACTGAAAAGAGAAAATCTTTTATTTTGACTTGTGTAATCTTTTCTAAGTTAACATGTATTTGTTTGGAAACCACAAAATAAGTGGGATAATTTTTGAAAGGAAAGTTGCCATCTAATATTATTTCCAGAGTCCCAAAAAATTAAAAACAAAATTTTCTCCACAATTTTGTGAATAACTTTGAATGTCTTAATGATCCAAAGTGAGAAGCACAATAAATAGGAAAACCGTGCTTTCCAAAGATTACTTAGAGAGAAAGATCTAAGCCAACAAATTGTCAGGGCTGATTCACCATAGGAAGGAGGCCTAATTGTGTCAAAAAAAAATGTAAGTTTTCAGATGCAAGCTCATGAAGGGTTACTAAAACACCTGTCCAGAGAGCAGAAATCTTCTGGAATGTATGTAAGTCAGCTTATCAACTGACCCACTGTACTTGGCAAAGCCCGTATTCGGCATCCAAGAAGAGTAAAAAATCAGTCTACCTGGACACAAAGCCTAGGCACTGGTCTTTCACTCAGAATTCTCTTTAGGCAGCACGGGGAAAAGCTGCAGCTGCTGCTTTTTGTGAGAAACCAGGCTGATTCATCTTAGAAAAGGGCCAGTTTCTCGACAGAGCTGCCAACTGCCTGGATAAATTTACCTAAGCAAGTTTTAAAAGACCAATCAGTACAATACTTACTGATCTAATTAAAGTTTTTGTCTCTGCACTTTGGTGCTTAAATTGAACACTTCTGCATATCATTCTATATTAGCAAATAAATTAACTATATACTATATTAAAGTCTATAATAATCAATATTTAGAACAATTTTATATCAACAATATCAATAAACTAAATCCAAATCCATGAAAAAAGTTTGATAGATTTTTGCCCAATAAAAATTAAAAGAGAAATCATTTTGTCAGTAAAAGCAATAGAAATTACTTGAGTTCTAAAAGTAGAAGTGATTCCAGTCCATACACAGGAAATCAGGTGTATTTATAAAGTAGTCAAGCATAAACCATTTTAAGCAAAGAATTCTTAAGATAGAATGCACAAAAGGTGGAGTTTTAGGAGTCTGTAAGATCTCTTCCAATTCTAAGATTCTATGATCACATGAAATTGAAATATGGCAATAGAAATAAAAAACCTCACATGATCCTCGATTGTAACTTAAAAATATGTAGAAAGATAAAAAAATAAATAAAATCTATCAATACTAGTAGGTATTCCATCAAAGACCAACATAAAAACAGATTGGGATTTCTGATGGTTTATCAAAAGAAATTAAATTTTCAAAGATTAGTAAGAAATTTACCTTTTTATTAATCTATACGGCAACCCCTCATAAACAGCAAAAACAGAATAGGAAGTATTTTTTAAACCAATGACCACTTTGGGCAGTGTATGTATAGATTAAATGCCCTTGATTGCTAACATTTATTTTCATCTACAGAAGAACTAAATGATTAAATCCTAAGATGACCAAAATTACCCTCCTTTAGAAGCTATAAATACTTTAGCAATTTTTTAAAAAGCTTTAAGTAGCCTTTCAAGTCTTTTTACAAATAAGCACATTTAAGAACAAAAAAGAGTAAGCCCATTTTAGCATCAGTCTGATGCTAGCTGGCATGTCCACCACTGGCATCCACTGGGAAGGGAAACAGTGAGTACTTCTAGCCTGGAGTACCAGCTCCGTCCACTCATCCACCCAACACCAAGGTACAGTGACGTTTTGGGGTTTATTGATTTTGATAAGTGAACTACTGTGAAAAATAAAAAAGTAAACATATTGCAAAAGCACTGAGATTATTTAAGCGTATGTTATAATATTAGTAATTTAATAGAAAGGCACTTTGATGATAAATTGATCCTAGTAATGTTATAAAACAGCAAAATCTCAACTTCATCTTTTTCTTTTATAAAAGATTAGAAAACTTTGAAGAAAGCACCAATGTTTACCATGTTATTTCATTAGTAATAGCTCTACCTCATGATTACATAAAATCTTATGACACAAATGTTAAGTAAATAACACCAGCCAATATCAAAACCCAAATTGAAGTGAAAATTTACTCGGCACAACTATGTTGTCATTAAAAGGAAAGTCCAAGTCAGGTGCCTCTTTCCCCACAGGTTTTCACAGGAATAATGTTTCTCAAACTGTGAGGATAATAACCTCTTTAGTGAGGCTCCAGCCTCTTCCAAAAAAAAGAGTAAAGGTGTGATAGTGGAAAAGGGGAGAAAGAATTTTCACTGGAACACAAATCTTGTATCATTTCTCTTGACATTTTAAATGCAGAGAAAACTTGAATTTGTTGCCACTACCTAAGGCCATTTACTAGTTCCTAGAAGCATAATAAGAGAACCATCATTGGTTGTCGGAGTGGCTTCTGTTGCTTAAGAACTGCATTAGCTCTTAAAGCATTATATTGAATGCAAATATTCCCCTCCCCTCTATGGGTTTAATGATCGTAAAACATTATTCCAAGCATCATTTTAATCTATGCTGTAAGATTACATTTACACTCCATTCTCCTCCTGCATCAAAATAAAACAAGACAGGGTGCTAAATTTTTTTAAAAAGATGGGGATCACGAAACTTAGTTCCAGTTGAATCTGTAGAGAATATTCCAATGAGAGCAAAATGAAGAAAACGGAACAGGATGCTTGGTACTTTCATGTAAATTTTAAAAATTTTATTGAATTCACTGGGGTGACATTGGTTAATAAAATTACATAGGTTTCAGATGCTTAGGTGTAAATTATTCCACTTCACTTTTACCTTTACCTCCCAAATCATACATAACTCTCTTAGTTGGTCTAGTGTGTGTGTTTGTGTGTTTGTTTTTAAAAAGGTGCGTATGATGACAGTTTGAGAAATCCTGAAACAGGTACTAAGAAGCCAAACGGTAAGAGAATTAGGGTATTATATGCCAATTACCTGGTAAAATATTAGTATAACATAAGCCTGCAAAATAAAAACAACTCCTACTCGTGAAAAGCAGAGTAGGTAAAATCTTACGTGTATCCCGGTGCAGAAATCGGTGCCTGGAACCTTGAAATTTTATTTCTTGGGGCAGAATCTGATCTGTGCCACCTTAAATAATAATTATGCTTCTTTTACATATTCAGCTTTTATAACACAGAGGAAAAGCTAGATACGATTCTATTGGTCAGAACTCATTTTTGTATCTATAGCTGACCATAATCAATCCTACTGTCTCTTGAAATTAAGAGAACAGAGGCCAGTGCTCTTGCTCTTATACCCATATGTCCTTTTGTTCAAGCCAAGGAATAAAAGCAAAGGCAGGGAAGGTTCATGCACAATGACACATAATTAATCTCACATTACAAAGAAAAGACTCAAGTTGGTAAAGACAGTGAGAGTCTGATAATTACTTTAGTAGAGGTAAAATACAGCTGTATTATATTAAAGTTTTTTCCTGACCACATTACCAACACTGAATATACAATATGATCATTATACAAAGTTCCTAAGGTTAATTAAATGTAGATTATCAAAGATGAATTCAACTACTAATTGTAAAGTTAGTAATAGTAGGAGAAGAAAAGGCAAGGAAGGTTATATTACTAACAAGAAGATAGTTAAGTAATTTACTTACCATGACATGGTAACATATGTAACCACCATAATAAAAAGTATGATTAAGTAATGTAAGCATTTCAATATGAAACATACAGTTAAATATTCATGTTATTTTTACTACCAAAAATCAACACGAGACTTTCAGTTTTATTAAACATCTAGAAAATGCCATTAAGGCAACTTAAAGAAAAAAGGAATCAAATATCAGTTAACTCTGTTAATCTTTTCTGTTATGAGGAAATTGTTATTGGTAACTGCAAAAATGTCTATGCTCTAATTACCTACTCTAAATCATAGTCAGTAGGCTGGTTTTTATACATAATAGAACTGTTTCCTTTCCTTTGTTTCCTTCCCCTATTTCCTTTATTTTTAACTGAACTCGGCTACCAAAAATATATAATTTGTGAGGAAAAACACAAAAGTGTTGCTACACTGATGCTTTTATTTCAGTAGTGTGAAATTTAAGAGTAATTAGAACCTAAATAAGCCGTATCTTTATATAACAGAAAAGTTTATTAAAACCTTTGCCGCCTTAAAAAAATATCATGAATAGAAAATAATAAAAGCTCTGAGGAGATGTTTAATCATTCTGAGGGCACTAAGTATCAAGAAGCTATGTAGCTTTTTCACCATGTGTGTAATATGCTTCCAAATATTCTAGAAAAATGATTTCATAGGCTGGTGACATCACTGCCAACCAGCACCCTCAGGGAAATATAGTTATAAAAAATTTCACATCAATAATGATTGAACACTTCAGATAAATCTTCCCTAAAGGAGATATATATTAATTTTAACTTCCTTTCTTCCGATATAACCCTTCAGAATAACTACTCTAGGGGGCATTTCAAGACTGTCCAAGAAATCAGAGAAGTCACCATTCTCCTTTGCACCTAACACAAGAAAAGAGAGGCCCTATACCCATCAAAGCCCATTCTGCATCCCTACACTCACTCCTCATCAGGCCCAAACTACAGCTTGATACAGTTTAATACAAATGCTATACTTGTATTATACTCTAGTTATTTTGTATAGAAGTTTAAATGTTTTGCTTTTACCTAGATTTGCAAGAGAGGTGTTTCATCTCCCAATTCTTTTGCAGTTCCCAGAGAAACTAACATTACAATGCTTGCAATCAAATATGGTTCATGATGAATGAGTTTATGATAACTGACTGAATATTTAATGGAGAAATATTTACATAAAATATCTAAATCATCTATTTTAAAAAGTCACAATCACCAATGGCTTTGAGACTTAAAATACTGACCAGCTTTTAAAGGGATGTTTAATTTATAAAAATCCCATTAGTTTTAAGAAAACAACAAAAAGCATTTGCCTGATCTAAAGCATCTTATAGCGGGGGAGCTTTAAGATCAGGCGTGATAATATAACCAAACGAGAGAGGATTAAACAAACAGTTCTTTAAACAGAATACTTGTAGTTTTGGAAAATGACAGGGATCTAATAACTCAATGACTCAGTAGGCAGGAAGCTAAAAACTAATCCTGGAAAGGAAAAACATCCACTTGCCTTTGGTACGCTGTTTACCACAGCTCATCAGAAGCAGAGCTAGAAAGGGCTAGCTCACAATCTTATGATGAATTGAGTAACTTGAAAATAAAGATGTTTCCTTAAATCAAGTGTTTACCTTTTATTTATTTTTTAACCTACATACTACATAAACAGTTTTGAAGGATGCACAGAATTGAGCACTTAACATTTACCAATTTTTCATAAGTTTACTTTATAGAACATTCTCAAAATAGGCAAATCATACTTTGTGAAGACTATCATATACACACAAAAAATGCTACTGAAAAATCTTCACAACTAACAAATGGTTAGATTTTGAAGGCAATAAAAAGTATTGCAATTATGTAAAATTGATGTAAATGCAAAACAGATTTTAAACACTATTAGAAGTAAATTATTTCTTTTCTCAGTTTCTTAGGCATAAAACACACACACAGTTTAAAAAATGTAAATTATTTACAAAACAATGGGACAGACAATATATAGAGAAAAAGTGTAAAGGAGATACAGAGCTCAGTGATTGTACTCACATGGAGTCAGTCCTGACCAGCTGTCCGTTTTGGCGAACAGCATTTTCACTCATAGAGCGCTCTCTTTTTAGCCTGCCAACCGCACGGACCTGTTAGGCACAAAGAAAGGGGAGAGAAGAGGAAATATTCTTAGTAGTCTAGTAGCTGCTTAGCATCAAAAGAACCTTAATTCAAGGCTACTCACAAAATTTACAAAAAACATAACCAAGAACTGCTGCTAGGCATGTATACAACAGCTACACTTATATTACTTAAGAACAATTTTCAACAGTTTTAAAGGCACATCTATTATAGGAAATGGGATGGATTTCTATTACAAATAAATGTTCCTTGCTTCTGGGGTTTAAACAAATTTGTTATTTGGCTGGATATCTGAAAATTAGACTAAAAAAATAGTCTTCCTAGCTTAAAGGTTTTGGCATTACAGAAACGGCAACAACCTCCCATCCCACATGCTCTTCTTACAAATGTATCATTGACTTCTTTTCATTAGGGATGGGATCTATGTCCACTTCCCTTAAAATTGGGTGGGCTGCTGGAGAGATGATGCAATGTGCTTCTGAGGCTTGGTCATAAACAATAGTAAGGTTTCTGCCCTTTTTCTCCAGACTGTTCATGTTTGCAACAATGGCACCATGATGTGAGGAAGCCCAAGCAGCCACATGAAAGGGCCATGTGTAGGTGGTGCCAGACAACAAGCCTAGCTGAGGTCCCAGACAACAGCTAGTATTAACTGACATGTGAGTAACCCTTCAGATGACTGCGGACTCAAGCTGCCAAATCATCCCTTTAATGTTCTTTATGCTCCCACTATTTTAGACATATGCCTACTTGGTCCATGTAGAAGGCTTTCATTACATATTGCTAATGATATGATTTATAGCCTCTTAATGCGTCTTTAACTTTTGCTTTTTTCTATATTATTTCAAATTCAATTGATGTTAAAACTCTACTTACTTCTTCATTTTGAGGGGTTGAAGGAGGTCTTTCTAAATCCAGAAAATCTAGTGGTCTTTCACTTAGTGTAAGTACACGGGGTGGTGTTTTTAGAGCCAGAGGTTTAAAAGAAGTTGACTGAATGAGGTCAAGATCTCCTGGTCTTGAAAATGGAATGTCTTCATTATTTCCTGGAAGTAAAATATAAAAAGGAAACAAGGGATGTTTTAAAAAGCTAGTACTTTTATTAAACTGTATTTGCCACTACATACCCACTAGAATGGCCAAAATGAAAAAGACTGAAAATACAACGTGCTGGCAAAGACGTGGAGCAAATGCAACTCTCACCCATCAGATGGGAATATGATAGAGTGCAACCAATTCAAAAATAGCTTGACAGCTTTTTATAAAGTTAAACGTAACTTATAACATGATCTAGCAAGTCCACTCCTAGAGATATGAAAACACATGTCCTCATAAAGATTTGTACATGAATATTCATAGCAGCTTTATTCCTAATAGCCTCAACAGAAAAAAACCCCACAATGTTCATCAACAGGTGAATGGATGAGCACACTGTAGTATATCTACACAGTGGNAACAACCTCCCATCCCACATGCTCTTCTTACAAATGTATCATTGACTTCTTTTCATTAGGGATGGGATCTATGTCCACTTCCCTTAAAATTGGGTGGGCTGCTGGAGAGATGATGCAATGTGCTTCTGAGGCTTGGTCATAAACAATAGTAAGGTTTCTGCCCTTTTTCTCCAGACTGTTCATGTTTGCAACAATGGCACCATGATGTGAGGAAGCCCAAGCAGCCACATGAAAGGGCCATGTGTAGGTGGTGCCAGACAACAAGCCTAGCTGAGGTCCCAGACAACAGCTAGTATTAACTGACATGTGAGTAACCCTTCAGATGACTGCGGACTCAAGCTGCCAAATCATCCCTTTAATGTTCTTTATGCTCCCACTATTTTAGACATATGCCTACTTGGTCCATGTAGAAGGCTTTCATTACATATTGCTAATGATATGATTTATAGCCTCTTAATGCGTCTTTAACTTTTGCTTTTTTCTATATTATTTCAAATTCAATTGATGTTAAAACTCTACTTACTTCTTCATTTTGAGGGGTTGAAGGAGGTCTTTCTAAATCCAGAAAATCTAGTGGTCTTTCACTTAGTGTAAGTACACGGGGTGGTGTTTTTAGAGCCAGAGGTTTAAAAGAAGTTGACTGAATGAGGTCAAGATCTCCTGGTCTTGAAAATGGAATGTCTTCATTATTTCCTGGAAGTAAAATATAAAAAGGAAACAAGGGATGTTTTAAAAAGCTAGTACTTTTATTAAACTGTATTTGCCACTACATACCCACTAGAATGGCCAAAATGAAAAAGACTGAAAATACAACGTGCTGGCAAAGACGTGGAGCAAATGCAACTCTCACCCATCAGATGGGAATATGATAGAGTGCAACCAATTCAAAAATAGCTTGACAGCTTTTTATAAAGTTAAACGTAACTTATAACATGATCTAGCAAGTCCACTCCTAGAGATATGAAAACACATGTCCTCATAAAGATTTGTACATGAATATTCATAGCAGCTTTATTCCTAATAGCCTCAACAGAAAAAAACCCCACAATGTTCATCAACAGGTGAATGGATGAGCACACTGTAGTATATCTACACAGTGGAATATTAGCAATAAAGTGGAATGAACAAGATATAAGCAACAATAGGAAAAAATCTCAAAAACATTACACTAAGCAAAAAAAACCCCACCAGACACAAGAGTATATAGTGTATAATTACACTTATATGAAACTCTAGGAAAGACAAATCTAGTCTCTGGTTATAGAAAGATTATGGTTGCCTGGAATTGAGGGGTAAAAACTGAAAGAGATGTGGCACGAGGGGACCTTTAGGTAATGTTCTGTATTTGGACAGTGGTGGAGGTTACATGAGTGTATACATTTGTTAAAACTCATCAAGCTGTACACTTAAAAATTACACACATTTTATGTAATATACCTCAATAATTAGTTGATTAAAAAATATTGTTTGAAATTTCAGATTACTGTTTGTAATGAATAAAAATTTTGAAAAAAATTTAAGTTGCATTTCCCAACGCTTTTTCTAAATAACGTTTTGAAAAACCAGAAAGTTTTCCTAAAAATATATAAAACAAAGACATGTCAGGCAACTTAATACCCGAATGTAAAATACCTGCTACGACAATCCTCTCTGGAACCTGCATAATCACACTAGCGTTTGGAACTCCGTCTTGGAATTCTTGTTCCAGGTCAGCATTTGGTGGCGCGACCTTTAATTTTTCTGGGACCCTCATTCGCTGACTAATGCCTTCGGTGTATTCCATTTCATACTGGATTCGACTAATTTCCGCCATCTCAGCAGCAGTGGGGGAAGGAAATGCTGCCCCACTCACTCTGTGGGCAAAAAAATTAAAGACAGTGTGACTGAGTGTTAAAATGTCAGTCTCTGCTCTGTGAAGTTAGTTGACAATACCTTATCGAAAGAGCAGACTTCTCACTTACGAGTACTGAATGCGCACAAAAGAAAAAAGAAAAGCGAAGAAAATGTTTTCCTCAACATAACTTCTCACTATCAGTTGAAACTGCACCTTGAAACTATTGCTTGGGAGCAAATTTAAAGAATTATTGTATAACCACAACACAAACGTGAGCGCACGCATACACATACACACACACACACACACACTCTCTCGGCATAGATACGCATGCTGCTTATAACTCAAAAATGCCTGAAAGAAAACTTAAATTTCCTAGTCAATTATTTCAGGGAAAGCTGCCAGGACTCTACAAAAATGAAATTCGAAATTGCTGTCATGCACACACACAAAAAAAGACGAAAATCAGATTTATAAGACAAATAAGATTAATTCTAAATGTACTGAAAAAGAAGATGCAACCCCTTGAAAAAATCACAAAATACAAATTAAAACTTTCCTTGCTGAATGTATATCTGATGACTGAGATGCAATGAATACCAAATATAGCATATGTGTTAATAAAACTTTACTGTATACATTCATTTTCAGGGGTTGAAAGTTTCACATTATTAATTTGTATTTAATATTGTATTTACATGTATATTTTGGAAAAGCATGACATGCCTTTAAGGGGAAGATGGATCAGATGCAGTGAGTAACCTGAATTAAAGAAGGATCCATGCTCCAGGGAAATGCAGGAGAAAGAAAATTGCCCCAAAATACAAAATGCTGATAAAAATGTAAACGAGCATGGTTAGCCTATGGCAACCAGCTTCAAGGCGACTATCTCTCAAGCCTATACCAGCTCAACTGAATAAAATGTCACTGACCTTCCTATTGGTGGGTCACTGGTTTTTCTTTTACTCATTTTTAATACAGTAAATACACGTCTATAATAGCTATTAAAATACTGCTACCCTGTAGTTCAGTTTACTTTACACAACAATTCCCCTACAGATCTGAACTTTTTTGGAGGTGTACATAACAACACGGACACTGCTTTTCCAGCTGTAAAAAAGAAAGAATAAAAATCAGTATTCCAACGATTCATTTCATAAGAAAACTATGAATAAAAGTAAATATCTATTTAAAATTATTTTTGGATTTCAACAGGCTTCGGACTTGATCTGAGAAATCAATTTTCAAATCCCTCCTAAACAGAGTTATTCTATATAGGTTCAAAAATCATAAAGATGGTGTTCAATATAGTCACTGGTTTATGATTTTGCCAACAGATAAAGAAAAGCTAATCCAATGTATATACAAATGAGAAGTCAGGTTAGGAAAAAACACTCTGCCATACAACTCTACTCATTATATTCTGAAGGAGGAAAATCCTCTTCATTTATTGACTAAGTACAAATTAAGAAACCACAAAGAGAATGTAAAAGGCAGAAGTAAATTAATTTCAAGCAGCCTAAAAACTTGATGTAGTGTTTTCTTTAAAAGGAATTAACTTTGAAAACCAAATCATACTAAATTTCCAGCAGAGATGTTATACCTAAATCAAGGACAATAAAATATTAAGGACAGTATAATTTTAAGTCATAGCTAGAATATTTATTAAACTCCATGTCAGAGATGTATTACACACCTCAAACTCTACCTCACTGAGATGTTTAGGAGAGTTATTAGAGGATGCTCAACTGGTTAATTATGACTGCTAACTGGTTTTTTTATTCTTTACCCAAATGTGTGAATTTTAGGATTTGGCATGCAAATGTTTTAAAGACTAAGAACATAGAGCTTAAAGAGAAAATTTTTACTCACAAATGTGTACCAACTACTACTTGTTATTTGGCACTATCTGCTTCTGTGCTTCATAGTAAATCCTGTAACTTGCTTCACTGTGCACGTGCTGGATTTAGAGCCACTTCTGTCCCTGGGGGAGAAAAACAGGAGCTAATTGAGGAACTAGATGATACCATATTATGAATTCATTTCTGGGAAATTCTCCAAATGATAAAAGTTATTAACGATGCACAACCTTACATTAAAAAACCCATAAAATAAAGAAATTAAAAAGCTTACCACCACTTTTATAAATTTTAAATTTTTTAGTTGCTTTTTAGAGAGGGGACGGGGGGGTAGAGAGAGGGAGGCAGAGAGAGAGAAACATCCATGTGAGAGCAAGACATCAATCGGTTGCCTCCTGTACAGCCCCTACCGGGGATGGAGCCTACAAGCCTGAAAGTCTGCAACCCAGGCACGTGCCCTCATCTGGAATCGAACAAACCACCTTCAGGTGCACGGGGTGACACCCAACCAACGAGCCACACTGGCCAGGGCAAGACTGCCATCATTTCTGCTTTGAATTTAGAAAAATGTAGCAAATGAAAAGTATGTATAAGCTTAAAAGAACCTCAATGCTTATATATATATATATATATATATATATATATA